GCGCCTGGCCGGCTCGGGTAAGTGGTCTGCGAGGGGTTCCGCGCGGGCGGACCGGTGGTGCTGCGCCGGCCGCGCTCATTCACCCTCCTTCACAGCCCAAGGCAGCGGGGTCCTGGACAAGGATGGTAAGAAGAAGCACTCGCGCCCGACTTTCTCGGGCCAGCAGATCTTCGCGCTGGAGAAGACCTTTGAGCAGACCAAGTACCTGGCAGGCCCGGAGCGTGCACGGCTCGCCTACTCTCTGGGCATGACTGAGAGCCAGGTGAAGGTGAGCGCAAACGGGGAGGTCTCCGCGGGATCATGCTGGCCAGAGGCTGGCTCGGGAGTCCGCGTCCTGCGAAGGGATGGCAAGCAGCCGCCTGGCCTCTGCCTGGCCGGCGGGCAGCCGAGCGAGTCCGCTCTCGCAGACGGCAGGGTCAGGGCTGGGCCTCCGAGAGGCAGCGAGGCACAGGGCTGGGAGCTTCGGAGGCCCATCTGATGGTTCCCCTCCACTCCAGGTGTGGTTCCAGAACCGCCGGACCAAGTGGCGCAAGAGGCATGCCGCGGAGATGGCATCGGCCAAGAAGAAGCAAGACTCAGATGCAGAGAAGCTGAAGGTGGGCGGCTCCGACGCAGAGGACGATGACGAATACAACCGGCCCCTGGACCCCAACTCGGACGACGAGAAGATCACGAGGCTGCTCAAGAAGCACAAACCCTCGAACTTGGCGCTGGTCAGCCCGTGCGGCGGTGGCGCGGGGGACGCCATGTGAGGACTCGACCAGGCCACAGAACCAGGGTACCGGGCGCGGCCCGAGCCCCGACGCCAGCTGCCTGCGCCGCAGTGTGTATATATATTTTTTACAGAATAAGTTATAAAGCGGCAGTGCTCGGGTGCGACGTGCGGGGTCAGGCTGCATCCCTTCGCGTAGGCGTGGGGTGGGCGGATCACTTTGTATAATCAATAAATTATTTAACACGTCCGGGTCGGAGCCGCAGCTCCCCAGGCTGCACCGCGTGTTTTTTCCACATCGAGCGAGATGCCTGTGGGCAGCCCGTCCCCACCTGCAGCTGTCCGGTCTGTTCTCCCAGCCTGGTGCCTACAGTGCACGGCAGGAGCGCGCGATGGAGACCTGGGGCCCCGTGTGCGCATCCGGGTCTGAGGCTGCGGGCCCCGCGGCTCCTGGGAGGTCGGATTCTCCCAGACCGGCAGGACTCGAGCCCGAGTACAGGGAGGGCGGCCCAGTCCGCAACCCTCGGGTGGCACGCAGACTGGAAGGAGCCGCGGCAAGAGGCGCTAGGCAGAGCGGCAAAGATCCGGGCGCTCAGCAGGCGTGGCCCTGAGACAGGTACGGATTCCACGTTCCGCGGCCACAGCCGGCTCCTGGCCTCCAGAAGCAGGAGATGCACCACGTAAGGCGTCCTCAGTTGCGTTGGTTCGGACGGATGAGGTTTGGGGAGACTCATACATACTTGGCTCTTCCGAAAGGCGAGTAAGCCACAAGATTGCCCGCCCACACCCAGCATCCTGTGAGGCACTTTTCCTTGTTTGCAGCTGGGGACAGTAAGCGGTGCACAGTCCCTCTGAGCCGCTGCCGAGCTTGAAGCCGGCTCTGCCTGTGTTCTCTGCCTTGGGTGCAGACATTTTGAAATGATTATTTTTAGTCTTTTGGCCAGGATACGAAGTATTTAGAATATGCCTGCTAAACGCACATCAGGTGAAATTGGGGTTGAAATTCTACATGGTCCTTTGGCTACCATGTTAACTTGTTTTCATTGCCACAAAGAACTATTTTGTTCCAGCTAGAACTGCCAAGAGAAACCCAAAATAATTGTGGCCGCTGAGGGCCAGCTCACAAATCCCTGGAACGGCTTCCAAGCCTTTATTCCAGGTGCTGAGGGCTGGCTGGCCCTTCAGGAGGGAACATAGCAAGGGACAGCCAGCCACCAGAAGCTGTTCCTCATCATGCAGTGTGCCCACCAGCTCTAAAGGGCAGCCGTTCCACTTCCAAAAAACCAATCTGCTGTGGCGAGACTGGCTGATGCTCCACAGCTGTCTTAATGGGCACTAATGTTTTAACTTTGTTCTTATGTAAACAATTATATTACCTCAATTATAAGATTTCTCTTGGAACAAATTTTCAAGAACATTTCAGAGAAATGTAAAAGATTTACATTTTGTTCTTTACCAGAAGTTTTGCTGTACTAGTTTAAAGGAACACTTCTCTTCTTTTGAGCTACTGGCAGATTGTCTTTAAAAGGGAGTTATGCTTTTAAAAACATTTTAAAGGGCTTAGAGTGTCATTTCTGTGAGTGAACCATTCTGTCAATTTAAGAGCAGAGGCATTTCCAGTTGTAAAGTTTTGAGAAAGGCATTTATACAATGCCATTAAAAATGTGGGTGGAACAAGTCTTATTTTATTACAGTAAAGAGTCCAAACAGTTACTTTCTACTCAGAACTCAGTGATGAATGCCTTCTGACAGTAAGCGACTCAGTGAAATTCCAGATTAGGAATGAGCTCCAGAGCAAACAACAGGGCACAAAGGAGGCCACTCCCATTACTTAGCATTTCAAAGGTGATGGGAACTGGGAAGGAAGGAAAACAAAGCAAGCAAAGAACTGTTTTCACCATGATCAATTTTATTGCTTAGGAACCAAGCAGTCACTTCCAAAGGCCTTCGGAATGACCCACAGTTGAAGCCCACAGATAGAATCGCCGCGTGGTGGCCACGGTGTGGCTTGTTGACGAGCAGCGACCACAGCACTTAACAGAGATACCGACCAGCGTAGCGTCAAGAACACAGGTCGGCACGCGGACACCAAATGACTCGCGACAGTAGTGATTTCTATAGAAACAAACATCGATCTCATGCTTTTGCAGTCCAGGAACTGTAGTGTTCTGAAGTAAATCAATAAAACGCACGCTTGTGTTTCGTCAACAGGCTCTGCAGTCACCTTCCGACGCTGTGCTCAGTGCTGGGAGCAGAGTGTTGTTGGCAATAGGGTAGTTACACAGGCGTCGGTAGCGCGGCCCAGTGTTGCTTCTCTTCAATGTTTTATACAGTTCACGTTAAGCGATCTCTGTGGGAAGCGGACGAGGCTATTTCTAATTCTCCCACGAGATTATGGTTTTTAATGTAGAATATTGGCACCATAAAACGGTAACAAAAGACAGACAAAACATTTTACAAAATTCTTAAAAGGTAGGTATACCCAGGCTAGCTATAAACTTCACATTCAGTTCTTAATGTTACACAGAGAAAGGCAGAGGAGTGACAAACTGCTAGTGCACAAGTGCAGAGGGGCTGCTCTTGCCCCACAGCACTGCTAGGCCAGTGCTGTCTCGGAAACTTGTGTGCCGATGTACACATTCCTAAAGTCCTAGACTGCAGTTCTACCCGCTGGTATGACACTCGTGCATTCATACTGGAAAGTACATTTAGCATAAGTTTTGGTAAGATTTATAAATTATTTTTAAAAAGTATATATTTATATGTATTTATATATATATAAAAATGGAAAGCAGCTGCAGTGTGATTCAGACACCATGTAACATGGCAGTAGAGTCAGACCACGGAGGGGCCTTGGGGTGTACACACACGGTGGCCTCACTGCCTGGGTCGGCCCAGACACAACTTCTCCTGGCAGAGAGGGATGCTTGACACCTTGGAGTTTCTACGCTGGAGAAGCTCCTCCACGGACAATTATTTAACATGGAAAACTGTGAAATCTAAAATATGGAATCTCTTTGCTATCAGAGTTTTGGCAACAGGACTGTGACTTGTCTTTAAAAAACCCAATGTTTCTACTTAATGTCACATGAACAGATACGACAGTGAGGTATGTGAGGCTTTTCCGGAGTGGTCCGGAGGCTGAAGCGAAGTGTGGGGCCGGCCGTCTAGCAGGTGGTGCTTGGGCAGGTTTCTGATGCAGCTGTTAGGAGTACGAGTTTCAATATGCTGCTACAGGGAGGTCTCGCGGAGGGTCCTCTCATTGCGCTGGCACCTCTTCCCTGAAGTAGAATTAGTAATTTGTTAAAGGAACAAACACACCAGGAAAAGCTGCAGAAAGGAGAACTAAGGGAAGGAGTCATATTTACCACCACGTCACTGCACGACACAACACTTGTGCACATGTGCATGAGGTTTACCTGCCCCAGGCGCTATTCGGAAGGCCAGGAACACAGGCTGCAGTGGGGAGAAGAGAGGGGTGTCAGTGCACATGTTGCCACCTCCTACCAAGCCCCTGGCCCTCCAGTCTCCTGGGTGCTGGAACCATGTCCAGAGAAGGCGATGCTAAAACATGGGTGCAGACCAGAGACTGAGTCAGCCTGGACCTGGAGTACAGGAGTAGGGACGCAAAAGGCCTGAGACAGCCCCTGTCTGTTTGTAAGGAAGGAGTTCTTTCAGATAAAAATTAGTATAAATACTGATTGGAGGAACTGCTAAAAAATTCCCAAATGTTGTAGGGATGCAAGTGTGCCCATCCTTGGAAATGCACTCAGGAACTATAGCTTAGAGGGCTTGAACATAGAGGAAATAGATTCATCTAATTTGGCTGAAAATGGGGCATGAGCACTCAGTCACCTGGTGTGACTGCTCATGGGGACTGTTGGGCTGCGCTGGGTTTAGGGGCAGTCCCATGTTTAAGTAATTTGTTCAGCTTAGCAATGCCTGACCCTGAGTCCACCAGGTCTGGATACTTAAGTTTGCTGGACAAAAGCTTGGCGTAAGAAGGCCATGAAAATATCCCAAATGCATACTTCAGAAAAAGCCTTCAAAAATAATCATCTATAGACATAACTTTTTTTTAACAAATAGTAAAATGTATTTTATTCTATGGTGATTAGTTGGTTCTGCTTCCCTCCTGCCTTTTCAACTATCTTTCAGGATTTATTAAAACTAAATCAAATCAGACCATTTTGGCATATTCAGTAAAGCCAGACTAAGGAGATGAGAGGCTGCCCACCCACTGGCCACTCAGCCCCTGGACTGCAGTGCAGCACACATCACCTTGTGGTCTCCCATGCAGACGTTGCGCCCGATGTGGTCATAGGTGACAACCTTCTCCTCACTCTCTGACTGGAAGCAAACAGAGAGAGTGGTGTGAGGAGGCTGGGACACCCCAAGATCCTGCCAAGAAGTGACAGACAGGGGCTTCGGAGTATCCTGGGTAGAAGGGAGGAATGTGGGGGTAATCCCTATGAATGAACTTTCACCCGCCCTGCTCCCTCTGCTGAGGGGCTTTAGCTAGTCAGAGCTGCCCGTAGGAGGTAGTGACCAGCGATGATATAACATCTGCTGGTCTTACACCTCGACACCCTGGCCCAGCTCTTCTGCTAGGTGGGACCCTGATTCTAGAAGACAGAAGTCATATGGTGGAGGGGTTCAGGGGAGTCAGGACTTCCGCCTCATTGTAATGCTGTTGTGTGCTACGGGTTCACTAGGAGCGGCACAGGGCCCCCCTTGCTCACTGCAATGACTGCCTCTGAACTTTCTTTCAAGGTGTCCCTAGCACTGAAGCAGCTCATCTGTTTTCCCTATTTACATTTGCTTTGGACAGTCCGCTTTATTAACCTAAAACTTTGCACGGGAAGACAGACACTGAATTCCATATACTGCACAAAGCATTGTGTACATATTAATTATCTGCTGTGTGCAAACTTCCTTCACCCCTGCAGTGGCTCAAGGCTGGCACACGTTTGTATTTCAGGTGTGATGGTAAAGGCTTTGTTGCTGGTAATCAGTCAGCTCTGTCTGGGCTGAAGTTTTATATCTGTAGCTGAAGCATCAGAGACTATAAAGTTAAAACTGAATTATCTTTAATGCAGTAGAAAGCTTAAGGTCAGATTTACTTTCCAACATGGTCGCCTGCCAGAAAGTATAAAAACATAACCTTCGGTACCGCATGCATGAACACTTTCCAATCTTTCATGAGCATAAAGCCGCCTCTGCGGAAGTGGGGAAACATTCATCAAACACAGTGTGGTAATTTACAAAGGCAGCATAAAATTGTGGATTTTCAACTGCATAATCTTTGGACAGATAAACAAATTACAGCGGGGCGCAGGCAGAACGCAGGCACACCTCGCTGAGCATTCATCATGGAGGCTCCCAGGCAGCATGCCTCCGTCGGTGTTTTAGGGCTCGGGAAGCAGAACGAAACATGATGATGAGGAACTGGAGCATGGCATGATGGATGGCACAACGGAGGCTGCTTGTGGCACCGTCTGCTCATCTTGTACTGCCCACTGCCCACTGGGAAGCCCCAGGGGAGTGTCTATCCAACTCCAGCAGTGAGGACAGGGCCTCCTTCAAGCCACCAGGTCTGCTTTGTCCTCAGTTTAGATGAAGAGCAGAGTTTGGTCTCCCACTATGATTTTAAAGTATGGAATCCTGGGTCTGAGGACCCAGAGGCACTGTGAATTAATATTAAATTGGCTGAAATGCTGCCTTCCTTGGACCTTCCTCTGGCCACAGTGACTCTGGCCAGCCTTCTGCCCACCAATCGTAAAAGAGCGTGTTATCTTAGAGTCTCACAAAATGAAGTTGTTGTGACCTTAGGTATTTTTTCTGGTGGAGAATGTGAGTCTGAGTTTCTCGTCTTTCTGCCTAAGTCCCCTGAAAGGTTTTGTTCCAGCCAGCAGGTGAGAATGTCCACCATGAACCACTATGTAACCACTATGTGCTTGATTTCCATACTGTCATCTCCACAGAGCTGACAAGCCCAGATTAGAAGGGGCAGGGATATGTCCAAGGCTGGGCTCCTGAATTCATCCTGCATCTTTGGGCTCCTGACCAGTGTTCAAGTACAGCTGCATTCAAGAAGGCCTCAGCAAGGAAAGAACCACAGTGGCCTGTCCTCAGTGATGGCCCTGAATGAGAAGGTATAGGCAGGAAAGGTAAGCAGCCCACCAAAGCTGTCCTGAGTCAGTTTCCTGGGACTGAGGGGCAGAAGTGACACAGCCCCTGGCCCATTGGCGGCCACTTGCATCTTCTGGCTCCTCCTAACCACTAGCCCCTGTCATGGTCAGAGACCCACAGCTCTGAACATAGTATCAAATTGCTGCTTCCACATGAATCCCTGTGCTTTACTGTTACATTTTCACTGATGGGGTGACAAAATTAATTTAGATACTGTTTCCTTTGAAAACACTCCTTGTATATGAAGATGTAGGAACTGAAAAACCCTGGCTGTCCTGATCTCCTGAGAATGACACCCATCCAGTTTTAGCTTATTGAGCCCAGATGTGAACCTGGCTCTGACTTATAATGACAGACATTTCTACTACGTTTCACAGCCTCCGGATTCTTTCATGGACAAGAGTACAATGAATTCCAAGGATTCAATAAACTAAGATATTCAGACCACTGCCTGGTGATCACTTATATATGTTTCTACCCAGGACAATGGGACTCACTGGGACCTGAGCCATGGACCATTTCTAGGCTAGGCAGCTCACTCGTTCTTCCTTGCGGCTGGTCCTAATGGTGGTTCACACTTACCCTGAGCACCAGCTCCTTGGCAGAGAGAGACATGAGGATGCGGTCACACCACGCGGGGCACCGAGTATTCATGTACTGTTCACCTTGGCTGGAGTCCTCACTGTAGGGGTAGCTGGGGAGACAAAGAAGCACAGGGTTAGCAGTACATTGGCTCTAGCCATCCTGTGTTCCAAAGGCTGTGCTATCCAGAGAAAGAATGCATACATACAAGTTTCAAGAATACAAAGCCAAACTTATAACAAGTTTTCATTTATTTTATTCATTTTTTTGGTACCGGGGATTGAACTCAGGTCCTTGTGCTTGCTAGGCAGGTGGTGGAACCACTGAGCCAAATCCCAAGCCCAATATAACAAGTTTTCATATCAAACAACTCTGTGTGGGTCTACAGACAACTCGGGTCAATCCAGCCGCACACACCTCTTCTCCACCTTCTCCAACAGTCTAGGTGATTAATGTGGGAAGGGTCCAGGAGTTCGGCCGTGAACCTGGGGTAATCAAACTACAGTGGATTGTGACTGTTCTTTCTCTCTCGGACCCTGTCCATGCCCTCTGAGGGTCTGAGAATGGGCTCTACGCAGCACAAATGATACATGACTAGCAAGTGATGACCAGAGTGGGCAGCTGCCTCAACCCCACCAGTCTTGCTACATGTGTTGAGCGCATCCTGCATCAGCATGGAGGACTGTTGTTTGTGCCTCAGACAACTACCACCTATCCCCACCACTGTTCATCCTGGCTCTGAGCGGCCCCCACTGGCTTGGCTGTGTCTCCACATGTCACCAGCTCCCTCATCTACACGAAAAGGATCCACAGATGTACAGGCCCAGCTGCAAGTAGCCACCGGCTTCCTTCTCTTCCTGAAAGGAACACCTCAGCCCCGCCCCAGGGGGTAGCTCCATCTCAGTGGACCCACCTTAACCCACCATATCCACCCTCCATCACCTCCCATCCTGGGGATCAAACTTAGATCCCTGCACTTGCGAGGCAGGGACTGGAAGCACTGAGCTGAATCCCCAGCCCCACCATTCCTTTTAAGATGCAAACCCATCACACATAGGCATGTTTATGGTCCACTAAATGCAAACCCACTAAGAATGACCAAGTCTGGAGAGAATCCTTATCTGTTTAGGTGCATATCCCACTGCGGTACACATGCTCACTCATACTGCTTACAGCTTTCAGAAGATTCTAAAGGTTGTTCTTGTAAAAGTTTAATATGTTTTTTCAGCTTTATTCCAAAATGCCACATAGTGTTTGTTGAGAATGGCACTCTGTTAGATTTTCCTGCTGGCTTTCCTGGAAGAGAGTGCTATTGATTTTGCAGACTTACGCTGTCATGGGCACCTGTCACATGTTGATTCTGTGGGCCTTCTGGGAGGGACTCATATCACCTACAGGCCTGGCCTCTTCTTTTACTGCCCATGGAGAGGACCTAAGGCCTATATCCTTGAGCCTCAACCACCTAAACTGGTTTTTCCCATGATGTTTTAGGCATGGGGAGAAGGATTGAGGCCAGTACTATATCTAGGGACACAGTAGCCATACACCAAAGGCCAGCAGAGCCTCCGTGAGGTGGCTGACAGGGCTGCCCAACACATTGGGGAGAGGTCATAGAACACTTTTTCTGTCTTTGCTCTCTAGAGAGATCCAACTGGGCATATGACTCATGATTCTCATGAAGCACCACTTGAATTTGGCTAAAAACAAACTTACATAGTTTTTACTGATGACAACATTGTATTTTTAAAGAATAGAGAATATAGTAGGGAAAGTGGGAAGGGTAGGAGAAAGGTAATAAGGGAAAGAAAAAAAATAGGAGAAAATGAAAAAATGGAAATAAAATGTTTGTAAAGGGGGGAGGGGAGGAGGGGTGAAGGGAGGGCAGGGACAAGGGGAAAAAATGAGAACCAAGACCTGTCATGTAAAGGTACAAGATCCCAATGATGAATGTAACTGTACTGCATACCTAAAATGTACCAATAAACTCAGTGAGAAAAAAATAAATGAATAAAGAAAGAATAGAGAATACAAGTAACCTATGCGTTTTTTCTTTTTTAGGGAAAACAGCCAGTCAATGGCCTCTCCTATTTCTACACATTTAAAATTATGGTCATCTCATTCAAATGTTTCTTAGTTTATCCCAACTGTGGATTATGAACTGAAGCTCAAGCTCCATTAGAAATGCCCTGTACACATTCTAACACAGCCTCCTGAGGAATGGCACCGAGGCCCAGATCAGGGTCCCTTCACAGGCCAATAACCCCAAGAGCTGTACAATCAGGTCACACAGATTTCCCCAGCTTCCAAAGGATGATGGATGAACATGCTGGCTGCCATGGGAGAGTCAAAAGGCTGAGGATGTCCTGGCTGCATGGGCTGCAGGGCCCAGCTGTTGGGGGCAGCATGCTCACCCCTACAGGCTTGAGGTGTTCCTTTTAGGGTATACTCTTGACACCCAAAGAGCAAATGCAAAATATTCTGATGCCAGACAAGTCTGAGGAGGCCTATGTGAACCAAGGTTTCCTATTTCCTTCTCCCAGCTAAAGGCTACTTGCAGGACACCTGGACCTGGATGTGGGCAGTCCACAGATGATTAATGGGAGTAGTGCCTTATACTCATACTTATCTGGAAGCAAACCTGCATGAGCTGGGAGGTAGGACAAGTTGGCCCTATCTCAGCCCTGTAGAGCTCCAGGAATAATCGCCATAATTAATTGCGGCAGTGATAAAATTAACAATCACCCACCTGTATTCTCCGGGCATGCCACCTCCCTTCCTCTTTACCTCTTACACTCTTTTCCTCAGGATGTGGGCAGCGGCAGTTTGTTTGTCTGGCTGGGGTTTTGGATAGTGTTGCCATGGCCCCTGCAGCTACAACACTGACTGCAGCAGGACACAAAACCCTGCTAAGTTTGGGAGTCCTACAGGGCTGAGAACTGCAAGGAGAAAAGTTGGGTGGGTAGGGTTCCACAACTCTGCTAGGATTCTCAGCCCTTCCTGAGAGGTTTAGCCCCAGTTCTCCATGGAGCGGGGAGTTGATAGAACAGGCAAGGACCCTGCCTCTGCTTTCACCTGGTAAAATATTAACAGGTCCCAGTTGCTAAGCAGCTCTTGTGATGGGAGCCGCAGCTGCCTCAAAGGTATCAAGCATCAAGGACCACATAGTATGTTACAGAGGAAGATGACTCTCACATGCATCCACAGCCACAAGTGTATCTCTAAAAACCATTTCTACACCCATGGAGGCCTGAAGTCACACTAAAACATGAGGTTTCAAAGATACCAGCTGCTATCAAAATACCTGGTGGTGGCATTAAAGAAAAATAACTAAACAATGCAGATTGTGGCCTTACTGAAAACTATTCAGTGGAAGAATTTAGCAACCAAAGTGCCATAAGAAGGAATCTCAGTTGCTGGGGAGCTGGAGGTCAGGAGCCTGCACTGGCTTTCTTGCCACAGCCACAAGGGCGGATGCTCACACTTAATCTCACTCTTGGGATGACCAGGGCTTTTAATCATAAACCATTCCCTGACTGTGCTCACCCTCAGTTCTGTCTCTCACATCTGCAAAGGTCATGTCAGGGCTCAGTGGACAGATGTCCTAACTCCCTACCCAAACACTCAGCTCTGGCGAGAAAGCTCATCCTGTTCATACTTGTTCTACACAGATAATTATTATTATTACATTATAGACACAAATCAAAAAACAGTGGACCTCTACATTATGGCTCACAGAGTCTAAAAAGGGTCTCCTGGTGCTTAATTTTCAGTAAAGGTACCCATTGAAGAGGACAGTCCAGGGCACTTTCCTCCCTACGTTGTATACATTTTTGTCTTTTTCAAAAGCTAAATTGATTTTATTTTATAATTTGTTAAATAAAAGTATCCCATTTCACTGCTGTGAATTAATCTTTTTGGGAAGTGACTAACTATTCCTAATTAACTTTTTTTTTTTGGTACTGGAGATCGAATGCACAGCCTTGTGCTTCCAGCAGAACCACTGAGCTAAATACCCAGCCTCTAACTCTTAAGAAGTTCTTTGAAACATTCTGAATGGTAGATAGAAGACACTTAAATGTCCCACTTTTTTAGTGAACTTCATGTTAAAGTGTGACATGTATAAGACAAAGTGTAAACGTGGAAAGGATGCTCCCTGGCAGAGATGGCCCCCCTGCATTTGGGTCTGGCCCACAGCAAACTTCACAGAAAGGGCATCTTGTAGCACCCAGTGCTCTGCACAGGCTCTGTTTGCCACACTGTGAGTTTAGATTTATCCTCCGAGCGGGGCAGGAATGTTCTCTGTTATTCATGCTGTGTGGCAGGATCCCACTTCAGTTTTGAATATTCATTCTACTATCTGTGGGTTTTAGTTGTTTCCAGTTTGGAACTAGTTCTTGGAGAGTGGTGTGTGAGCCTCTGGGATCCTTCCAGGGGTCCAAAATGTACTTACAGTAACAATAAGATGACTAGCTATTTCCAGTGTTGATGCTGCACTGATGGGGCAAAGGCCACTGTGGCCTGAGTGGCTACCAGGCAGCAATTAGGCCATACAGGAGCATCATCCTCCCCAGTGTCACACACGGCTACACAGAAGCCAGTCACTTACAGGTACCCTGATGAAGCAGTTTAAATTCTTACTTCTATGGAACCCCACATGTGGAAAATATGGCTTTCAGGATTCAGCAGGATAAGCTGGGTGTATATAGAAGACACTCCAGATTCCCCATGCTGGCATCTAGCGGACGGTGCTGCTGGGTCTGTGCTGTTAGCTTTGCAACTGCTTGTTTTCATGAAACACCATTCCTGCAGGCAGACTGATGTACGAGTGCACTTAGGCAGGGTAGCTGGCAGGGATCTTCTCGTGAAGGGTTGAGATAAGCTTGCCTTTCCAGGGAAGCCATTGATGTTATTTGTTGCCAACAACAAATTCAAGCTTTCAATTAATATCCAGAATTTTGGAAAACATATTTGTTCCTCTGCTGAGGCTGGAGTGTCCTGATGGAGGTGCCATTAGCTGTGTGAGACAACCTAACATCCAACACCTGTCCAGCTTGGCTCCCAGGATTTACAAAGGACTTACACCTGCTGCCACCCAGCAGGAGCATGAGTTCAAAGACCTACTCCAAAACCAGGAACCAGCAGTCCATGGGGGATAGTTTCAGACTCCACACTGCAACAAGCTTCTAAGAAATCACTGTTTCTAAAAGTTAAAAGAAAGTTAAAACATCTACAGTCTTCAGGAGGTGGTTTAGACGTCTCACCCATGTCCAGCAAGTATCTGTCTGAAAGAGGTCAGCTCTGCTCTACATGCTGCAGCCAAACTTCACAAACATTTAAAAAGATAAAACATTGTTCTCACAAATTTATTTGAAAAATAGTTATTTTTTTCATAGAATATCACATTAACATTTAATGAGTTTATTATTAGATGAATTTAATAGATACTTGGAATTCATACAAACTAATAGACACAAACCACAGAAACAAAAGCTCCATGGGGTCCCCCAAAGTTTTAAGAGTATAAAGGAGTCCTAGACTAAACTGGCTAAGCATGACTCTCTAGGATATGTTCCCAAAACAATGTTCAGTCTGTGCCAGTCATTTTGATGGTGGAACAGGATTTTTCTTCTTAATAAATAGCAAGACTCACTATGCTATTTAAGAATGTCTATTAATATTTTGCTATTTATTTAGAGCCCAATGCCATAAACATGATAGACATTGTCACCTTCAGTACATAAGGAGTTCACCCACACAGAGATGAAAAAGAGATCCTGTCAGCCAAAACAGAACACGTGTGACTCACACAGGGAAGATTTAGGTAGTGTTCAAATTTGGGGAACTGTTCATCCTCTAGTACTATGAAGCCAGTAAGATGGCAGGAAGGATTGAGCAAGCCTCTGCTGCCAGTACCATGAGACTCTGGCCTCAGTGAGGTGAGGCTTTGCAGGGGCTGTCCCAGGAGGAGGAGGATCCATCTGGCTCAGCCACCCTAAGGAGGAAGCACCCATATGCAGATGCTGAGACCACAGGGTAAGCAGTATGCCAAAGTCCCATATCAAAGTATAAAGATGTGTTTGTATAGTTAAATTCAATTCCCAGGACCAAGGAGTAAGGGAGGGGGGATAGAAAGAAGCAAAGAAAACAAGATGACACAAGTTCTCAAGGCTGTGGACAGAATTGCATAGTGCTGGGTCAGGAGTCCAGGCAGGCTTGGCTTGGGGCCTCAAAGGCCAAATTCAAGGTGTCAGCTCTGCTCTACCTAGGAGTTGGGGTTGTGCTCCCAGGCCTATCTGGCAGATGGGTCCTATTTCTTCACTGGCCTTCAGAATGGAGTGCCCTCAGCTCAAATCTTCTTGTACTTCCAAGCCAGTAATGGTAACTGAGTCCACATTACAACTTTGAACTGCCCTCCTGCCCATCTCTCTCTGCCTTCAGCCAGAGAAGTTCTCTAGTTTTGATGGTGCATGTTATTCAACTGGGCCCACCTGGGTGATCCAGACTACTAAACTGCTTCTAAAAAGCTCCTTTGGCAAGTCATATAACTGTTTCTGAGACAAGGAGATGTACATTTGGGGGATATTCTGTGATGGCTAATCTTGGCTATCAACTTGACTGTACTTTTGAATATGCCTATGAGGGTCGGTCCAGAGATGACTGGCTTGTGGGTTAGTGAACAGTGTAGAAGACCAGCCCTGAGTATGGGCAGTGCTACCCAACAGGTTGAGGGGGCCAGAGGAAACAAAAATTGGAGGAGGAGGAAGCTTGCATGCGCAAGGTTCAACTCTTCAACACTGCAGCATTTTTTTTTTTTTCTGCAGGCATCATTTGTGGACATTAGACTTCAGCTTCAGCATTTGAACATGGATTCACACCCACTGAGTAGGGAGAAACTGCATCATTGGTTCCTCTTGTTCTGTTCTGAAGTTTCCAGCTGCTTGTGCTATGCATCTACTGATTTCCCTTGGCCTCCAGGTTATAGGCAGCCATTTGGGATAATGCAGCTTCTGATCCTGTAGGCAAATCTAATAAATCCTCCCTCATAATTATATACATGTACACACGAACACATGTACACATGCATTCCATTGGTTCTGTTCCTCTAGAGAACCTGAATTAATACACCCTCCAACCATACTAACCAATCATACTCCATGGGCACTGGCTGGGGACAGAGCCACCTTATTTTTCTTTTGGTGCCAAAATCCCACCTCTAAAAACCCACAACTGTTTTACTCTCCCCTGTCCAGGGAGAAACACATCCCCAAGAAACCTGGGCAGAGCTGAAGGACCATTTCCCAATAGCAGGTCTTGGTGTTCAGGGACCCTCCTTCCCAGAAAGCTTGTGCTTTCAATCACTAGGCACATACTAGGCAATGGTATGTGTCAGCTGATGCCACTCTTCTCAACCTTCCAGAACATTCTGTCTTTCCAAATTTTATTTATTTATTTATTGGTACCAAGGATCAAACTCGGGACCTTGTGCTTGTGAGGCAGGTGGTGGAACCACTGAGCTAAATCCCCGGCCCCCTTCCAGGACATTCTGTTATGGTAAATTTGGCCCTAGCCCTGTAAGAGCGGACTCCAGTCCCTGCCTTGGTGTGGGTAGAAGGCCCTTCTGCTATGGGGGTTAGGGCTCTCCCTTGCCTACCCAGGTGCTGACCACAAAGCCCTTCAATTCCCAGCCAGGCTAAGTAACTTTCAAGCACTGGGAGAGGATCTCAACTGGGCCAATGAATGCCACAGGGTGGTATCCTGGCCAGCCCTGCAGAGACCAAGGAAAGACATCTTCAAGATTTCTTCTAGCATTCTGCTGTTCAGAAAGAGGGATGTTCGGGATGTCTGACTTGCAGAGTGGGGAATCACAGCAAGTGCTGAAATCATTTTTTGATTTAGGATGTATACAAAAGGACATCTCACTGAGCATCTATGATCAGAGTACTGCCAGGTACCCCTGGACTCAGAGATGCAAGTCAGTTCTCTGGGGGGAGGGGAGGGTCATCTCCCAGACCCTCACTGCTACGAGCTGCACTGATGTGCCTGGGCACTGACCACCCCAAGGGCGAGTGGGGCCTGTACTCCCTGCTACTCCAGCCCCCTAAATTCCACTCAATGGTTTGGGCACCAGGCTCCTTGCCAGAGGGGCAAGACCTCTTCCAACCCAGGTCAGAGGAGTACAGGCTGGCCCCACAGCTCAAGAGCCTCAGGAGTCCTGGGCCCTGTACAGGGCAGGGCTTCCTTCCAGGTTGCACATGTTTGATTACTGGCACCTGGCACAGTGATGAAAGTGACCCTGACAAGGAGGATGAAAGGCTGCTTGGCTGTCAGGCACATTCTAGGTGCATGACTGCTCATTTCAAGATAAGGATACGAAGTGTTTACCACTGGGCTTGGTGCAAAACAACTGGGTGTGAGAGAGGAATCACACAGGCATGCCCTTGTCACTGTCACGACTCACATGTCTGTTAGAAAGTCTGTCTATCACTCCAGGTGTGCTTTCGACCCTGAACATGAACATTTTAAACTTGGGATTTAAGCAAGTGCAGAGAAGTGCTATGGAGGCCTGTACCTATGACAGGGTATCTCTGCCCTTGGACAACCACTTTTGTGGCTGCTGCTTGTGCTGCTCCAGATGGACAACGTGTCCCAGAGGCCTCAGTGGGCAATGGTGCACCCTCCCCAGGAAAACCCAGCACAGCCAAGGCAGCCATAGTGCAGAGCACTGCAGGCTCAGGTCTGGACACGTTTCCTCACCACTTTCTGTCAAATCATTCCTTTCTTAAGTCATAGCTCTCTGAGGTCCTGGGGTAGTCTGAAGGGAAACTGATGTATTTCAAGATTCCACAAATGTCAGAATAAAAGAGAGAAAGCTTACCTGCCTGAGAAAGTCAGACAGACCCAGAAGTCCCTACACCATGGAGGGTGTTGGGGGTGTGCTAACAACATTCCCAAAAAGATCCACAAATACAACCACCCAGTGAACCACACATGTTCTGACCTAACATATTTGGCATTATTTTGCATACTGGAAAAAAGATCTTAAAAAAAAGAGAAGGTAACAGCATTATTTATTACCCTCAGCTAATTTTGTTCTTTGGGCCTGGAAAAGGTAGGAGGGGTGCACCTAGTACACATGCACACTGACACAAGTGCACACATGCATACAATGTGGACACACACACAGGTTAGTACACGAGCACTTACAAACGGGTCTGAGGAGGAAAGGTTACCTGGATCATCCAGCAAGGGCAGTGTGCCTTACCTGGGGGGAAATGAGATGTCCAGTTCATACAGTCTATCCTTAAAGACAGACAACTCTTTGTCAAACTCCAAGAGCTAAAGAAAAGATAAGAAAATAAAGTCATCTTGGTTTTCCTCACTGAGGACACAGTGCTCTGTGTGCAGCTGGGATGTCTGTGACTTTCTAGGAAGCCACAGGGCTCAAGCATTCAGTGTAACATCTGCCCTATCTAGGAGCTGCTAGGTCAAGTCACCAAAAAGGTCTGGAGTACCTGCCCCTGTGGCTCTGGTAGCCAGCCATCTCTGCTGTGAGCAGTGCAGCCTCAGCTCTTGGGCTGCCTGGCTCTGCTCACTCAAGACACACACAGGCACCGTAACACATATTCACACCCTGGGCCAGGGTCTGGGCAGCCTCACCAGTGTGGAAAATGCTTTCTTACAGAGGGAACATTGCTCCTGCTGTACCAATGATTAAAGTGACTCACTTAGCAAGTGATGTCAACTTTGTGTGAGTAGATCGTTTCCACACTGGCAAGAACTGACAACTCAGGAGGAAATGTTCATTTCTACATGAGGAGGAGGCAGCGAACAGCCTGTCCCCCTTGGGATGCTTCAGAGACAAACTCCAGAGGGAATTATGCCTCCCTGGAAGGAATGAATCTCCACTGGCTGCATCTCTGGGTGATCACCATGCACATCCTCTGGGACACTGTTCATTAATCATGTCCCACCCACAGCTGTGTAGGGGCATGCCATTGCACTGGGGGTCCCCTCAAAACCATACCATGTCCTTGCTCCTTCTTGCCACCTCATCTATCATTCCTGAACATGCAATTAGCAGCATCATGTACACAGTAATTACCTATGTGCCAGGCTGCTACCTGCCCACCTGCACTGGGTTTTTTGTCTGCTCTCCACCAAAGTGTCACCTTTACCAGTCAGCATTTGGTGGGCCCTACTGCTGCTCATCAGCTGGTATGGTCTGGGGTTGAATTGAGGCTAGGATGCAGGAAATAGTTGCAATCCCCATCAGAAGTGGTAGTGCTTATGGTGAAGGGACAGGAAGGGTAAGTAAGCCAAAGCCCCTTTAATGCAAGGGACCAAACAGTTGCCTTATTCCAATCTTACACCATCAAAACCACATTCTGCAGCATCCTAGATGTTCACAGACATGAGCCAAACTGCCTTGTGTGTGACTCAGATATCAATGCTAGGGGCCTGGACACTAGAAGGTACCATATATGAATCAATCTCCTGCTAGTGGGGAACATCCACAGAAAACCTCACCCAGCTCAATGCTGTTCCTTGCAGCTACCAGGCTGGAGGATGGTGGGTTTCCAGAGCTGAGCAGCACAGCAGGGAGCACCAGGGATGGCAGGCAGGCTGTGTGCTGGAAGGCTATTGGCTTTAGTGTGGCACTGACAAGGTCTTGGCCAAGACTAATAAGAAGAGTATCCATTCTAGCTTTGTAGCTGCCTGCAGTTTTTCCTAAAAGGCCTAGATGGAAATACTAAGGGGATGCTGGGATTTATAAAGGTCCATGGTCAACAAGTGCCTCTGAACAAACTGTTGTGGCAGTCTTAACGAATGTCAATGACAAATGTCAGTTTCAAGACAGTGCAGGAAGAGTCTGAGCATCATGCTCATCTGTCAACAAATCTTGTCACTTCTCTCACATTTACTACAGACTTTTAAGAGAGATATGAAACCTCGGGGTTGTAGCAAACACCTTGTGAGACCTCCTAACTGGGCTCCAAACGGTGACTGCACTGTAGATGCTTAATGAATTCCAAGTATGCATTTATGTTATCACTATACTGCACATGTTCACAAATCCGCCTTCCCTTACATGTTTTCCCTTAAATGCAAACATTTCATCCTTTTGATCTTGCCTTGCTCTATAACATAGCTACTCTTGGTTCTCCTTAAGGACCTATGGAGGACCACGTCTCTCAGGTCCAGAGAAATGTCTGATACCCTGGCTGAAAAAGGAAGAGGTGGCTGCTTACAGAATTCTATGCTATCTGTTCTCTTTTTGATCAAACCATTTCAGGATTGTCTGGCTACTGAGGTTGCTGGGGACACCAGTTGCCTGTGGCATTCTTACAAGGTAATCTAACCTTTTCCCTAGATTCTTCCCACAACTATATACACAGAAACTCTGTAGATTTTCTAGTCTACTAATTCTTTTTTTTCATGGTGTATACTTCTGTTTCTGATTCATGTTTTTTAATAATTTAAAATATAGTTATTATATAACTCTTATTATTGAGTCATTTGATATACTTGGGGCTCTACCCCACTCGTAGATATATTTCAGATTCTTGCTGCCAGTGGAATGTTTCCTCAAATGTTCCACTGAGCTAGACTTTCCTAGTTGCCCACTTCTGCATTTGTGGAAATTTCTAGGTGTAAAGTAAATGTGAGCATGCCCTTCAAGAAACTCTATAGTGATAGGAAACAGCAGGCTTTCAAAATGCAACTTCAGAGTTTCACAAAAAGAAGCTCAATTTTCTTATTTTTCCCTTGGTTTTAAAGGGAAGTCCTGGAACCGCAGTCATTATCCAGGACTCATCTACAAAAATGGGTGGGTATAGGCAGAAGCCCTGGTTTCAATGACTGGACCTGGGCAGCCCCAGTCCTGTTCTATTGCAACTCCCAAGCACCTCACTAGGAGACACTGGGCATAGAACCATCAGGAGCGCAAGCCTGGACACTCAGAAGGGAAAGAGCTGGCATGCTTCACCTAAGGCTTCAGGGAAGTAGCTGTAAGAGAAGGGCTCAGGATTCACAAGGAAGATACAGGCTAGCCATGTGCTGCCCCGTGGACCAATGAACCCAGAGATTGTGCACAAAGGACCACTTTCAAGAATGCTTGAGAAAATCAACCTCCCATTCACGCGAGGTGGGTATCCACCTCCATGCAGCACACAGTGTTGCTGTGAGGGGTTTGCCTAAAATTTCCAACTAAAGAAGCAGATTACTAGTATAAACACATGAACACATACACGCAAGTTATAGAGAAGTTGGGAAACTCTGAAAAGGAATTGGCCTGAGCTACTGGGGAATGGGGGGAGGGTTAGCAAATGGAAGCTCTTTATTATTCCCTCCCAGCTTGACTTCATGGGGCTCATTGGTGGCCATTCTGTCCAGGGTGGCAGTACTGAGGTACTGAGGTACTCAGCAAACTGAGGCCACTGGTTCATTGCCCCTCCCCCATTTTCAAAAGTAAAGGGATTTAAAGCTAAGTGGATGCATAATGAGGCCATACCTTTAAGTGAAATTAATAAGTTACACATGTGTAAATACCGAATAGTTTTTCTGGTGTGAAAAAGTAAAAGTGTAAATAAGGATTAAAATGTATAACTGATTGTAATAGGAAGAAAACCTAAAAGAGTAGAGGAAGTGGGAGGGGTAGTGGAAAGGTAAAAAGGGAAAAGAAAAAGTCTGTGAAAAGGAAAAACAAGGAAACAATGTCTTTATAAACAGGGAAGGGTGGAGGGGCTAAAGGGAGGGCTGGAGAAGGGGAAAAATAAAAGCCAAGATAAGTCATGTAAAGGTAGAAGATCCCAATGATGAATGTAACTGTGTTGTATACCTAATATGTACCAATAAATTTAATAAAGATTAAAAAAAACAAAAGTATGAAGTAAAAAATAAAGGAATCAGGGGCTGGGGCTTTAGCTCAGTGGTTCACTTCCTGCCTTGCCTATATGTGTTCATCTGACACTGACAATATAAGATCGTCAGTCTCAAGTCCCCAGCCTCCACGCGAAAAGAAAAATTTCCAGGTGGTATGGCCTCTCCTTCAATCACCCATTGTTGACTAACTTGCCTTTTTTTTTTTTTTTTTTTTTTTTACCAGAGATTGTGCACAAAGGACCACTTTCAAGAATGCTTGAGAAAATCAACCTCCCATTCACGCGAGGTGGGTATCCACCTCCATGCAGCACACAGTGTTGCTGTGAGGGGTTTGCCTAAAATTTCCAACTAAAGAAGCAGATTACTAGTATAAACACATGAACACATACACGCAAGTTATAGAGAAGTTGGGAAACTCTGAAAAGGAATTGGCCTGAGCTACTGGGGAATGGGGGGAGGGTTAGCAAATGGAAGCTCTTTATTATTCCCTCCCAGCTTGACTTCATGGGGCTCATTGGTGGCCATTCTGTCCAGGGTGGCAGTACTGAGGTACTGAGGTACTCAGCAAACTGAGGCCACTGGTTCATTGCCCCTCCCCCATTTTCAAAAGTAAAGGGATTTAAAGCTAAGTGGATGCATAATGAGGCCATACCTTTAAGTGAAATTAATAAGTTACACATGTGTAAATACCGAATAGTTTTTCTGGTGTGAAAAAGTAAAAGTGTAAATAAGGATTAAAATGTATAACTGATTGTAATAGGAAGAAAACCTAAAAGAGTAGAGGAAGTGGGAGGGGTAGTGGAAAGGTAAAAAGGGAAAAGAAAAAGTCTGTGAAAAGGAAAAACAAGGAAACAATGTCTTTATAAACAGGGAAGGGTGGAGGGGCTAAAGGGAGGGCTGGAGAAGGGGAAAAATAAAAGCCAAGATAAGTCATGTAAAGGTAGAAGATCCCAATGATGAATGTAACTGTGTTGTATACCTAATATGTACCAATAAATTTAATAAAGATTAAAAAAAACAAAAGTATGAAGTAAAAAATAAAGGAATCAGGGGCTGGGGCTTTAGCTCAGTGGTTCACTTCCTGCCTTGCCTATATGTGTTCATCTGACACTGACAATATAAGATCGTCAGTCTCAAGTCCCCAGCCTCCACGCGAAAAGAAAAATTTCCAGGTGGTATGGCCTCTCCTTCAATCACCCATTGTTGACTAACTTGCCTTTTTTTTTTTTTTTTTTTTTTGGTACTGGGGATCAAACTCAGAACCTTGCACTTTAATAGGTAGGTATGATGCCACTGAGCTACCTCAACCACTTGCCTGATTTTTAACACAAAGATATCCTGAAGTTTGAATAGGCACATATTCTGATTTCATACGTACATATTAGGTGTCTGCAGCATGCCAAGTATTTGCTGACTATCAACAAACCAAACTCAATCACTGCCCTCCTGGGGCT